CCAAGCACCTAGCGTCGATGTGATGGTCGACTTGGGTAACCCCTTGTTGAACCGTGTTGTGGATGGGTTCATCAAGGTTGGAGGGATCGGTGCTTTGCATGCCGCTGCTCAAGATTCTTACCGACTCACGCTGCAAGGTACCAATTGCACCTTTCTTTACTTTACAGTCCAAGTTTGGACCTAATAACTTGTAGTGCATGTGTACATCCGCGTTCGTTGCCGGCCCCTGGGCGTAATGCGTGATCGCATTCCGATGATGTTTCTTAGGAGTATTCTTGAGAATTGAAGGAATTGCGTCTGATTGATTCCCACTTGTGCAGAGGAGACAAGCCAGAGGTCTTTGGAGAAGACTGCCCGACGGTTGGGCAAGGAGGCTTTGCAGTGGGGTCTGGCTGCCGGAGTTTACACCGGCGTGACGTACAGCATGCAGGAGGCTCGTGGCATTTCCGACTGGGTCTGTGTTCGCGCCCTGCGTCCTCTGATTTATGATACATGCCTCGACTCAGCGTTGTGGTTTCCTCCAGTGTTCATATACGACTGCGTAGATTTAGTTCAATAGGCCCTTCTTATTACTTTGGAAGTTTCTGATTAGTGCTACTTGACTGCTGCAGAGAAACCCACTGGTGGGGGGAGCCATCACTGGAGCTGCATTGTCGCTGACCGAGACCGACCCCCGCTTGGATCGTGTGGTTCAATCCGCTGTCACTGGTAGTGCCATTGCCAGCGCTGCGGAGTTCTTGCGCAATCTCACTAGTTAGGGAATGCAAGGTCGACATGTTAAAGTAAATTGTCTGTAAATTTGCGTGATGCCGCCGCAGCTACTGTCGTTGTAAAACGACTGTCAATGTAATTTGTGCCTAACTACTGGCGTTCTTGTGAAATGTTCAACACCTATCTCATTTTTGTCTCCTTTCTGGTACTCGTTTCGTCAGAGTTTTTTCTAAGTTGTCGGTAGCTCGGTGTATTCTTATGTTAGATACTGGAAAAATATCATCACACTCGTTAAAATCCTTGAGCAAATTTCGCAACTTCAACTAATGTTTTGCAGTACGGTAAAAGAATACACTGCACTTAACTCGCATTTCATTTGTCGCCAGTTTCCTGATATGCATGCTTCTAACGTAATTGGACTGTTGTAATCTCAGCGAGTTGGTTTAGTAACGGTGATATCGTAGGATTATGCCGTGTCTAACAATCACGTTGCGATTGGGAAAATTGAAAGGTTTCGCTGAGGGACTCTTAGAAGCTCTTCTCTCCTTACTATCTTCACAACATTTGATTACACTCACTTGTCTTGCAGCGAACCGCGGAGAGTGAAGGAAGATTTGCATCAAATGGCCATTTATGTCTTGCAAGCACGCATGTTGGTGTGAAGATGCGCACTCATATCAATCAACACCTGCGTACAATTTATGTCTATCTATCTATCTATCTATATATATATATATATATATATTTATGTATGTATACATGTATTTATTTATTTGTTTACGGTGTGTCTACAGGTATGGTAATGCCACCACAATCTGCCGCACACATGTTTTGGCCATTGTCACCACAACCTGCGACCCACTCTTTATATTCTTTCAGTTTTTTATTCTAATCAATTTTTTTTTGTTATTTTTTCCAATTTTTTTCAAATTATATAGTAATTGGATCAAATTGTAATAAAAAATAATCAAAATTTTGATAACAATAAATTGTGACGATAACAAGAACCTTAGTGACATTAGCAGCAAACAAAAATTTATATTTACATAATGCTGTAAAGAATTTTGAAACTATGATAACATATCAATTAAACATTATACAAATTTAGCATTAATGTGATTAAATATCAGAAATGTTTTTATTCTACTCAATAAAGTAATAAAAAGAAACAAAAAGACAGAACAAACAGTTGTGATTACTATCCTTAAGGCAAGTGGTAGTTCAAAATTGTGCAACAAACTTGCAATTTCAATATGCAACAAATAATTTTGTCAAAAAATGTGAATGTTTGTTGCATATAGAAGTAGAATATTCATGATTTTGTCAAAAAATGGACTTCTTATGAGTTTGTCTATGTTTAAAAAAGAAAACACATGTAAGTAAATGTAAAAATGCTGCAAATGATGAGTCTTAATTTGACACGAGATGTATTTTCTGTAGTTTGAATATTCTTTTTGATAATGATAAATAATCTTTAACAATCTTTGGGTTGTAAAGGAAATTTGACTTGTGTGAGAATTTAAAAAATATCTTTTTGAGAAATTAAGGAAATCTAATAAGAAAGTTACAAAAAAAAGGAAAAAAAAGATATATAATAAATTTATCAAAGATATTTCTACTAAGACTTTGCACTTGTACAATTTGCTGATGTGTTTGCAAAATGCAAGAGTTGAACAAAAAATTAAAATTATAAAGTTATTAGGAATTGATTATATTATCTATAATAACAAACTCTACTCTTTCTACCTATCTAATATAGAAATTAAAGTAGTTAGAAGTATAAAATAGTTTTTTAGTTCTTAAGTTTAAAATTTTGATTTTTTGATTTTTTGATTTTTTTTTTTTTTTCAAAATTTTCTAAAATTTAAATTAATCCAATATGAATATTTTATGCAATTTATAAGAGTAATTTTTTAAAAAAGAATACCAAGTAACATTAGAAGATGCATGATTTCTTATTATATCATGGATTCAACCTGGAAGCCTATATTTTAAAAATTGCTTTGTAAAAAATCAACTTTTTACATTTATTTCAAAGATACATGGTATTTTGTTACGACTACTTCTACTATTAAATTACATTGGTTCTAAACAATTATTAATGGTATCATGTGGTAACACAACTATATTGTGAAAAATAAAAAATATTGGTGTTATTATAGAAGAGCCTAGTAGAAAGATGTAGTACAAAAAAATAGATAAATGATAGAAAGGTAGTAAAAATTTTAGTCTTAGTGTTGCTTTTTGTAGAAGGCACTTCTATTTATTTTGTAGGAGCATAAATACCTCAAATAAAAGTAAATAAGATAAATATATAATTTAGATATTATTATAAGAGAGTTAACAATAAGTTTAAATAAAAATTACCTCAAATTACTAAAAATTGATACCTAAAAAGGACTAATTATGAATCTAGGTCAAATTCAAATCTTGAGACACAAAACTAAGAACCTATGGTAATTCTAGGATTCTTTTATCAATCCAAAAGTAAGATTTGAGAGTTGACTTGTGATAAAAAATTTAAAAGTTGGTTTCATGTGATTTCGGATTAATATTGAGGTTCTGAGGGATTTTCAAAGTTAATAATATCCTCGGTGGATTTAGATTTTGAGAGATATAAACAAGTTTATAAATTTGATGATTCTGTAACTTTCATAGTATATTTATAAGTAAAAATTTGGAAATTTATTATTGTACTTGTTGTAAATATGTGTAAAACATTTGAGGTCAATTAAGCAATCAAATTGAAGAGTATGAGAATTTTTGTGGATTATAGTTTTGAATAATTGATATTTAGAGTTAATGAGGGATTTTTCAATTTGGCAATATCTACCAATTTGATTGAAGCAAAAATTTGTGAGAGAAATTTAGACTTGAATATCTTTATATAACTAGATTTTTGGAAAAATTTGAATGATTCAACAAGGCAAATTTTTTGTTGAAAGATTAACATTCAAGTCAAAGAAGGAGGGCAGCCAAAAATCAAGAGGTTTTAGGAGTTTTTTTGCAATTGCTAAGTTTGATTATTTTCAAATTTTTTCTTTTTATTAATTCTTAAATAAACTTCAAGTAATATCTAATAAATTTAATTAAATTTTAATTTAGAAAAATAAAATTTAAAAAAATCACAAAAGAAATACAAAGAAGTTATGATTTAATCTCAAAGAAAAACAATAAGAAATCTTAAAAAAATATAAAAATAAAAATTTTAAAAAATAATAATAATCATAAAGAAATCTAGAAATAAAAACTCTAAAGAAACAACTAAGAATCTTAAAGAAATATTAAGAATAGAAATTATAATATAATCCTAATTAAAATCTTAATTAAATCTTAATCAAAACTTATGTCGAATTCTAATTAAAATCCTAATTAAATCTTAATCAAATCCCAAATTAAATCCTAATTGAAATCCAAATTAAATCTTAATAAAATCTTAAGTCAAATTTTAATAAAATCCTAGAAAAATTCTAATAAAATCTTAACTAAGTTCTAAATCAAATCCTAATCCTAATAAAATCTTAGATCAAATTCTAAGTCCTAATCAAACTATAGATAAATCCTAAATAAAACCATAATCAAATCCTAATGAAATTCTAGATTTTAAACAAATTCTTAACAAATCCTAAAGTAAAATGGAATTTCAACAACTAATGATTGAACTATTAATAATAATTCAAAATTTACATACTTCTTAATATCTTAGTTAGGAACAAGTATAAGAAAAACGAAATTAATTGTACTTATTAATTGAAAGAAATGTAAGATAATCTAATCAGGTATTAGGTAGCTTCCTACTCCAATCTAAATGCTAAACTTCTAGTGCCAATATCTCCTTCTTGAACTATTGAATTGCTCTCAAATTTCACTAAAATATTAAAAATTGAGTTTAGTATTCATATGTAAAAATTTAAATTCAATCCAACTAACAGATTGCTAAAGATCTTGGAAACCTACACTGACCTTCAATCTCTAATTTTTAAAACCTCAATCCACAAAAGTCCTCATATACTTTAATCTAATTATTTGATTGACCTCAAAATTTGTATATATATTTATAACCAACACACCAATACACTATCCAAATTTCACATGTTATTGTGATATAACATAGCTTATGAATGAAAGAGAGAAGAATAAATTATATTTTAGAAGATCTTATTTTAAAATATTATAGCAAATTATCTTAAAAATATAGATAATAGTCAAAAAGATAATAAAACTAAAAGATACTAATGTTGCTTTTTTATAAAATAGGCTTCTATTTACTTTGTAGGACCATAAATAAAGTAAATCAAAGTAAATTGGAAAATTAAATAATATAAGCATATGTAAGAAGAAATTAAGAGTAGATTTTAGCAAAATTTGCCTTAAGAATCTAAGAATTGATATCCAAAGAGGACTAGTTGTCAACCTAGGTCAAAATCAGACCTTGAGGCACAAAACCATGCACCTATACTGATTCGAGGATTCAAGGATAGATCAAAGAGCAAGATATGAGAGCAGACTAGAGAAGAGATTTTTAGGCATTAGTTTTATGTCGATTGAATCAATATTGAATTTTTAAAGGATTTTCAAAGTTAGTAATGTTCTCAGTTGGTCTAAATTTTGAGAAATAATTTTTTTTTTACAAATTTAAAGGTTTCTTGAGTTTTGTAGTATGTGTGTGAATGAATTTGGAGCAATGTATTGCTTTGTAAGTTTTTAATGTGTACAAATTTTGAAGTCAATTAAAAATTTAGATCAAAGTGTGTGAAGGTTTTTGTGAGTTGAGGACTTAAAAATTGGAGTTTGAGGATTAGTGAGTTTTTCTAATATTTTTAGCAATTTGTTAATTGGATTGAAGTGAAATATTTTTATATAAATACTAGACTTGATTTTCAATGTTTGAGTGAAATTAAAGAGTAATTTACTAATTCAAGAAGGAGATATTGATACTAGAAGTTTAGCATTCTAATTGGAATAAGAGGCCACCTAATATCTGATTGGATTATCTTATATAATTAGATTACGATTATCTTATATAATTTGATTGGATTAATTTGATTAGGATTTGGTTTAGGATTTGGTTTAGGATTTGGTCTAGGATTTTCTTAGAATTTGGTTTAGAACTTGTTTAGGATTTGTCTACAATGTAAAAATTCATTAGGGTTTCATTAGTATTTGACCTTAGATTTGATTAAGGTTCAATTAGGATTT